TGTATTTTGTGTTTATTGTATGTTTAGTATCTCAATATCTATTTATCAAGATCGAAAATGTGTTATGTGTTGTGTTCTTTGTTTTTCCCGAATTGAAATTGGCCAGGGTGTATGACAAAAGAACGATCTTCCATTCCAATTTTTTTCTCGGCTGCTCCAACAACCATTTCGGATGAGCACAACGCATAAAATGCGAAATGTATTCGACATTGACATTATAAAACATGATACGAAGAAAGATCACCATCTATATTTATATATTGTGTGTATCTACGATGCCAGCGCACGTTTAATAGCCCATAAAATTTAGGTGTTTAATACACGAGAAGGAACAACAACAAAATTTGAAGTTAAATGGCTGCTTTGTACAGTGTACACACTCGCTCGACGATATCTCTCGCTTTCATTGATAGAGCCAATCGATGGAGCGAATGAGGGAGATAGAGAGCGAAAAAGTGTGGGGGCAAATGAGCATGGTAATGACAGGAGGGAACAGATGAAATTGGCTGATGCTGATGATAATAATGATTTGGCTGCTGGTATTTGTGAACGTATTTCGTTCGTTTCTCACTTGTTTGTAACAATTGCATGCAAGCTTGTTGCTGCTGACTCTGGAGTCGTTTCGCCAAATGGGATTAAGTAACAATGAGGTTTCGATTTCAATGCTTGCCCATTTCCTACGCCACCAATATCAACATCTTGGTGAAGCACACTTAAATCACACATACACCGAACCCCTGTGGTTTCCTTCATTCCTTGTATATTTATTTCGCGCGAATTTTGCGCTTTTTTAGACCATATTTTTTCTGTCTTTACCTCTTGCTCCTCGTTGAGCAAGCTCGTCGTTTTTGTCCCTCTGTGTTTATATGATATGAAATAGGCAGTAAAGAAAAAAAAAGAATAATACGATGGCAAGCACAATATAGGCCTGTTTGCACTTCAGTTATTTCTTAAATGATATATTGAGCAAAAACAGAGAGAATAAACAAAGCTTGCAAACAATTTATTGGTTTGTTTTTCCCTTCGTCACATCAACGCACACACACACACAACCTTCGAAGCACTTGTTCAGCCATTAACTCAAATCAACGTGTTTTTTCCTTCTCTGCGCAATATAAACACTTGGACTCAAACCACGAGACATGATGATAACTGGGTTAGCTATGGTCTACGTATGAAACATTCCGTTTGAATGGTTCTGAAAATGTATTGATAAGTTATTATTGGGTCTTCTTGTGGGGGATTTGGTTTGAACGTTAGAGGTTTAGTGAAAAATGGACGGTACAATGTAAATAAGTAATTAATAGGTTTTTTGCACATTCAAAAGCCTTCAAGTTGATAAAATGTGGATCAAATAAAGAGAAAAAAAAAGAATCTATTCAGTTCAATTCACCTGGCGAACAGCAAACAATAACATTTCGTACCTTGTTTCCAAATGCACAGATCATCACAGCCGTGTGTATAATAAGATGAAAAAATAATATATCTCCAATAAATTGCAAAGTAAACAGAGAACAGTGGAATTGGATAAATGGCCCAAACGCTTCGGCATTTTCGACAATAAGCTTAACTATATTGAGTGTGTACTTTGGGTATTTTGCCCAAACGACGATATGCCGAAAACGATGATATTTCCGAAGATTGTGAGCGCAAGATAAAAGCGGTAAATATTATCTATATTTTATTACTTTTATCATAACGGTTATTTTTGGCCGTCATTGTATTCGCTCGAATCTTAAATGGAGTACACAACGAAATCACCCATCTCAAATCAGTGAATGAGAAATTGTTTTGGTTTCCTGATTCGTGTGAAAGCCTACAGTCGCCGCTTCTTATTTTCTCATTTTGATTAATATCGCTTCATTGTTCTCCTCTGGCTTTTATTTAATTTGCGAAGCCAGTTTTGCTAAGCAAACAGGCGAACGAAGCGAACGAAGCGAATGAAACGAAGGAATGAAGGAACGTACAGCAGGACAAACAATTAGTCAGTGTGGTGTGAAGTCAGTGTGGTGTAAAACCATACTCCGTTCTCATTCGGTTTGCAACACAGCAGTGACGTGCATGGTATAATTTTGAACTATTTACATGTCCTGTCAAATACCTCAGTTTTACCATGAAAAAATTCACCACCTGCTTTCATTTGTTCTGAGTAATAATTATCTCATGTTTAATAATTTATTCTTTGGTTGCAATAAATACAAGCATTACACAGAACTAAAAATGAGACACATTTGTTTTAATCAGAAAGACTTTTACGTGTAAAAACTGGAAATTTCATATAAGGCCTGCTTCAGCAGACACATTTTCTTTGTTGAAGAAATTCACTGAACAGTGTAACTAATATAAAGCGCGTAAATCACTGACATCAACTTACAATTGAATTTCAGAATATTTTTTTACTATTGCAATAACTACTTGACCAATACTTCCTTTTTGTAAACATGAGTTTCTAATGAGAATATTGAATCAGGCCTCCGTTCTTCATACTGATTAACTGATAGCTCTTTTCACCTCAGAGTTTATGGTGAAAAGTAGTTACGAATTCTGCCGTATCTGTCATTGCATTTACTCCTTGGCGCTAGTGTAATTTCACTAACCTTTCACTGTTTTCTCGACTTTGTAAGGATTTTTGTTGATGCAATTGGGGTATGGATAAAACCAAATACTATCATTCATGATTGACTGCCTCATTTTATGTGAAATAATGTGGTGCGGCCGCCGGAAGAGCACCTGAAACAAAGGCAAACAAAATTCTGCGATGACGAAAAAGATGAAGAGTGTCGCATCGACCGACCCACCCATCCTCTCCTTCATTCTCCATCATTGTGATTCAGTCAGCTTCGCTTTTGGTATGCATGACACACATTATTCGACTGAATGAATTTAGAGGACAAATTATTTTCTTTCTTTCTCTCCCTCTCCCCATCCTCGGACCGGTCTGCGTTCATATGAAGTATTTACGATAAAAATCACACAAGCCTACTTTTACTAGTCTAATTCCATTGTATTCACTCATCAACACAATGAGAATAGATTATTATGGAAAACAAGAGAAGAGACGAAAAAAGAGACGAAGAAAAACTTATGCATGTGTGATTTGAGGCTGATTGTGTGAAACGATGTCACGATGTGTGGCAATTTCATATGGGCGGCTTCTGCTGCTGCTGCTGTCACGAAAGGTGATTGAAAATGACGGTGCGACTGTGTTTATCAATGCGAAATGAAAAGGGATTTTTCGATTTGGTGCCAGACAGTAAGCATCAGCGAACAAGCTCGTTATTGCTCATCTACCTTCAACACACTGTCAGCCGAATTAAGGCAAGGCGTTAATGAAACGAAAAACATTTTCCAGAGAGCGCTAAAAGCATAATTAATTTCTCTCCGCACCAATGAAAACGCGATTAGCTGATGAAAATTGACCATAGCCAAATTTCAGATAATCCAACTTTTTAATGTAACATTAATCTCTTCTAACAGCTTCTGTAAAATCCATTTTAATTTAATTGTTTGCAATTTTACTCCAAAAATTTCGAAAATCTTCCCCATTTTTCGGGATAATGAACGGAATTATTGGATGGGACGTGCGCTTTAAATGCGCAAAAGCACTTGCTCATTTCATGTAAAACAATTTCGGTCGCATTACAACAGTGCAAGTGAACATGAACATGAACATGAACATTCACCGACATGAGGATTTACACCAGCCAAGCATTAACGAAAATGAATGGGATGAAATAAATTTTTAATTCCCATTTGCCCTTTCTCGTTATTGTTACATCGTGTCTGTGCTGTGAATGTGTATATGTTGCGTGATATTTGCTATGCTTTTATGGCCGAAGCCAATAGCGAGACGGATAGAGAGAGAGAGAGAGAGTGAAAAATGGAGCTAACTCTTAGCAAATAGAAGCATAGAAAACAACCCGTACATCGAATGAATTCGGCCGCGTAACAGTTTACCATTCATTAAACTCGATTTTTATTTGATTTCGAGAATTTATTTGACACACTTTAGAGTTGGTGTGCTAAATGCGCGCAACGATTTTTCATTTCATTGGATTTCAGTGCAATGTGAAAAGTTTTTAAGCAACGCTTAATCTCCCCATAGCCGTATTTAGGTAAAATCTTTGCAATACACGAAATAAAATTTGTTTTGCCTGTGTTTTTTTTTTCGAGAGGAAGGTGGGGGCAACAACCAATACGATGCCGTTAGCGACAGTGGTGTGGCGGCATCAGTGAGAATTTGTTCAAAAGATGCCCGACGAGCAAAAAAAACTCACAAAAAATGAAACAACACCTGAATAACGGCAAACACAAAAACTCAATGTAAACAATCGTTTGATGAAAAAAATTGTGAGAGAAATGCCGCGGTTCGTGTATGCCAGAAAAAGGGGTTCTTGCAGAGAAAAAAAAATGGCGTTTGATTTGGATGCGTGCTTTGGTTCAAAATTAATTCTTTCAGTGTCAGAATCTGTTTTTTTTTTTCTCCATCCAGGCTTTTTCCCTATTTTTCTGTGATATATTTGTTATTTACACATCTTTTTCAGTTCTCTATATTCGTACCGAAAATTATTCCGAGGCAAAACATTTTCACCGTATACACACGTTTGTTCTGACGTAGTTTGCACATGCTTGAGGTGATGAGATGAGATGGAACAAAAAAAGTGTACAAAAAGTAAATAGAAATGGAACATGTATAAAAAAAGAACACGAACTTGCACTTCGTTCTTTCGGGTAAAACTTTAAACGATGCGATGCGTGTTAAGTTATGTATGAAGCTTCTTCTTTTTCTTTTATGTTGTTGCTGAATATCGTCAATGAAACTGTTGACTCAACTGAACACTTTCGCTACTCGGCACCACACACAAAACACAAAAATTATACACACAAATGGGAGACAGCACGAACAACATAAAGAAGGTTGAGCTAGTTTTGTATTGGAAAGAATAAGTAACATAAAAAAAAGTTGTAACGAACGCATGACGAAAAAAAAAGGCACTTACGTGTTATTCCTTTGCTCGAGGAGAAATTCACCAAATACTTATGACATTCCAACGGAGCACAAAGCAATCGAGAGTGCCAAAACATATAAACTATGTCGATGGATGGTAAACCTGATGAAAATTCACAAAACGATTTCCACACGGTATACGTGAAACAAAACCGATAAATAAGAGAAAGCGCGGTCCCGGGGTAAGTGGCAGTATAAGCAAAAATTCAGCAATGAAACGAGTTACAATAGCACAGGGAGTAGAAGAATGGAAAGAAAAAGCACAAACAAACGAGAATCATCAAATGGTAAAACGATCCAAGCGTTCACAAACACGCTACAACAACAACAACAAGGACATAACATTTAATACATTCCAAAATATGTAAATGCACGCACTTTTTGAAATGTCATGGAACCGTTGCTCTCGGTGCTAGATTTTTACGGCTTCTGTTCCTTTCCGTCCAAGTCGTATAAGTGTGGCGAAGATGCTGCTGCTGGCTGCTGCTGTTTTCCTATGTATTGTGTAGTCGTTTATTATATGGTTTTGTTATCGCTGCCAACCGTCGACTTCACAAAATATGAATTAGAAAAACAAATGACTTGAACAGAGAGAGAGAGAGAGTATGCGAGTACGAGCGAAGTACACAGAATGATAGCGTCAATGACAGCCAAATAGTCGACACGCACAGGGAGATAGAGAGGGCGCGTTTTTCCGTTGAGCTTTTGTGTTAGAGTGTTGTGTTTGCGTTCCACAAAGTCGAGCACTTTTCGTTTATTCTTCTTAATTCGTTTTCGTCTTCGTGCCTCTTCTTTTGCTTCTGCTTCTGCTTCTTTTTTCTTGTGCTTATGCTCAGTTTATGAGCGCTGTTGCCGCTCAAGCTTCTGATATCAAATAGATAATTGCTTGATGTTTATGAAACGATGGTTTCGGATCCGTTGAGTGTGTGTGCACGCTGTATGTGTTCATTCGTTACATTTGTTCTGGAATGCGCATACACACTGAACATTCCATAACTGACGCTTGTGTACGGCCACTGCTGACTGTCGATGCGAAAGCGTGCCGAGAGATAAGCCAAAACATATTAAAAATTGTTCCACCATCCACTCTGTCGTATCCACATCGTCATCCTGTCCTTTTCCGCTGTTTCTTTCGTCGCTAAAAATTTCGCCCCCTCCGTGTTCGTCTTGTATGTGTACTTGTTAGTGCTCTGTGGCCTGTGTATTCTTCGCTGTTTGTCTATTTGTTCTCGTTCACGTTGTGTTGTCTGTGTATGCCCCTTGTTTATATGCGTTCTGGGGTTTCCTTTCTTCAGCCCGCTCTTTGTTTGCGCGCAATATAAATATGATGTTATTTCCAATGGGTATTTCCAATGGGTCTTATTGAACGTCACCGCTTTTGCTCTGTCGGTCTTGTATTACTCGAGCGTCAGTGCAATGTTCTCGGTTCGCTTTTGTTCGAGCTTCCGTACGTCGTGTGCCGTTTCTATTCTCTCTGCTGAACTTCGGATCGTCCTATTCTGATACATTTGTCAGCTCAGCTGACAATAATACAATGGCTAAACTATTGGGATACGCACAAAGTCTTAGGCACGCACACAGCTCTTTGTAATACACGTACACAGATGATAGATATCGAAGGGAAAAAAGCGCGCCTTCGTTCGGTGTCCAATTCACTCTCGCTCGAACAGCTCGAAACACACGAACATTTGCCTATTGCCGTTGAACTGCCACCGCTTTCGTCTAGATTGGTGAAAAGGAGCCCAATGCGTGCACGTGAAAGAAAAGAGAAGAAGAAAGAAGAAAAGAAAATAGAAATTATTTTCAATATGAGATTGTTTTTCCGTGAAGCTAGCTTTCAGTTGCTATTGATATATGACCAAATCTATACAGCTGTGCATTGTAACATTGTGTATCCGGTATTGAATAGACCATACACAATATTCCAATATAATATATAAATGTATTATGTGCGTTCGAGTAGAGCCCCTTTTTATTTTTATTGCTTTAGTAATTCGCGCGCGCCAGAGAAACACACACAGCTGAAATAGTTGCGCTTTCGAATGGTGATTCGAGAGAGAACAAGTGAAGCGAAAGTTGAACAGCCAAAACATTCTCTCGCTTCTTCGAACTGCGTATGCTCATGTACTGTGCATATGTCGGTCTGATATACACGCCTCAGAGGAAAAATGCGATGTAGATTTTTGGTGTCGAATTCCGGAAACGAGATTAAATTTTATTCAAATCCTTTAATATCATCCGCGCCTGTAGCTAAATCTCTTTGTCCCTTTGTCTGGTATTTCTTGGGGTGCGCCTTTGCGCAGAAAAGCATCGGCATTACATCTTTCATCTCAGGCTGCCATACATGGAATTTGCTACTTATTTGGTTTGTTAACTCAAACGTACACGCCGCCAATCCGGAGGAAAGAAAAAAAGGAACATTTCTATTCCAATTTTTTATATTCCAATTTTTTGTGTCTGTGTTTTTCCTTTTTCTCTCTGTTTGGTGGGCGCTGTTTTCTTTTAATTTTTTTTTTACTTTTCTTTTGGGTCGATAAATAACTTTTTTTTGCTCATTCGCCTGTCTTCGACGAATTGATGAATGCTTAAGCTCGACATTTGAGCTTTTCTTCTTTCTGTTCATCGTTACAATCCTCTAGGTTTCAATTTTTTTTTTCCAGCAACTCTCTTCGAGTTTAATTCGTCATTTTACTTAGCTGTCGCACTTTTCAATGGCTTTGCGGATTTTTTTTTTTCATGGCATGCACGCAATATGCGATTACGTTCCTTTCTCATCGTTCGTTTATCCGTTTTTTCTGACGGCTGCTACCGTTACACTTTTTTTTCTGCTGTGTGAACATGGTACAACATGGAGAGTTTTTTTCAGTTTCATTCATTTCATACTGACTGTAAATGTGAGTGTGTGAAAAATGATGTTTGATGCGAATTAGGCGTGTTTAGTAGAAGTTGGTATTGTTAATATTGATGCTACCGCCAATTTATCTTGTACGCGCGATTGTAAAGCATCGCGTGATTTACTTCGTAGCTTTTTTCCTACTTTACTCACACTCGCACCGTTTATCAGTTGGCACATGAGCCAACTCAAGCCGAATAATAAATAAGATTCACACACGTGAAAGTAGCTAGAGCAAAAACAGGACTGATGCCCGATGAAAAATCGTTCGCCATGGACAGCTAACGACAGAGTGAGCGAGTGGAAGCAAGCAAAAATCTTGTCTTGCAAGACAAGAATGCGAAAGCAAAAGTTAAAGCCAAAAGTATTTTGCAAGAGAGTCAACAACATTGAAACTATAAATATATTTCTCGACTCTTCCTCTTTAGTTTCGGTCATTTCATGTTAACATGGCACAGCATGCACGTACGCTTCGCAAAATACTTATGTGATTACGATGTGGGTAGTGAGTGAGCGATAGATATGGACTGGGATTATTCGACATCATTGGAAAGCGTTGCGAATTGCTTTGAAAATTTGGTGTATATCATCCCATTTAAAAGTGTGTAGTATATTATTTTTGTGTGCAAGCGCACAGCGTACGCATCGCAAACATGAACATTGTCCCTCGAATTATTCGGGTTTTGGCCCCCTCAGCAGCAGCAACAATAACAGCAAAAAACAGTGTTCAAGCATCTCATCTTTGCCTATTATGAGGCATACCAATAGTTAATTTTTATTTATTTTGGCACTAGAACAACAAATGGTGTGTAAGAGATTAAAGACTAGACCAACAAATTGAACGCATTGTACAAATGGATGTTAGAATGCGACCGAAGAGATGACAGTCACTAGGAGGTTGATTTTTTCCCAATTTCGATTCTCTAAACGGAGTGTATGTGTGTATTTCTCGCATGCAGACGCCAACAACAACAACAACAACGACAACAACAAACACGCACAGTCGAATGCGAACATTCCTACTATATTACACCACTCTATAGAAGATGCGATGCCATCGTATCGGAGAAAGCTTTGACCTTATTCACTTACAATAACAGAGCGCACACATATAGACACACACACCCCACAAGAATTTTGTTGTTTTTTTTTATTCTGCGTTACTTGCTCAGCTCTCTTCGATCGCTTCTTCTACATTGGTTCTGTGTTACTGGCTGTTCAATTCGCTTCATTTTAACTTCTTTTTCATCCGTCTTCTTCTTCTTATTTTCGTTTGCCTTTTTTCACTCTCACACCAATAAACCTCCATTGGCTAGCTGCGGTGTTTTCGTCGTTTGTGTCGCCTTTCAAGTCTACGCTTTTTATATGGACCCTGTGTCGTGGCTTTTTTAGAATTATTTTTCATAATCTTTTGCTGCTATTCACCAAAGGGAAAAAGAATCATGACGCTTTTTCTTCTTAGTGTGTTTTTTTGTTGTTGTTTTGTTTAAGCTTCGAAGTGAGAAAAAACTGAGAAATCTGAGTATGGTTTCAGAAAAAAAAGTCATTCGACCCACGAAGAAAATTTCATGATTTCAATGTCACTTCATCGTCGTTTGATTGCAAAAAAGAGTGGCAGATAGAGAGAGAATGAGTTTGCAAGAAAGTAAAAGAAGAAGAAGTCGATGGAATGTCAGCAAAGGCAACGCACGAAAATCAATTGATTGGCCTTTGATCTTTCCATCCCTTTGGCGTTGGAGTTTTTTCTTCTTCTTGCTTTGCTATCCTCTTCATCACCGCGAAAATCGCGCGCAATGCTGATTTCAATAGTGTGGTCTAGCGATAAGCATCTAACCATCAGCTCACACCGCACACAGCATACACGCAAAGCGTAAATTTAATTTGACTGTTGCGTTTCAACTGTATCGAATTAATGGTTGATGGTGAAAAATAAATTGAATTTCTTTCTTTGATTATTGAATTCGCGTTTTACTCTTCGTTGCTTTGTCTGAGACGCTGCTTCTATCTCTCACGGTGTGTGTCTAGCACTGTGTGTGTGAGTGTTGTTGTTGTCATTTTTGTTTCATTACTTTTCGTCTTCTTTCAATCGCACGGATTTTTATGGATTATCTCGCCCTTTTCTTGCTGTATTTTCAGTTAGCAGGCGGATTGTTTCGCCTTGTTTTCGGTATTCTTATTGTTTAAGTGGCATTCCGCGTCACAAGCGGAATATTGCCAATTTCTTCATCACTCGGTTAATACCTAAAACAGCACACAAATGCCTAGAGAGCGCACACAAAATGCCTTTTTTTACTTACACAGTTTTCAAAATGCTTTTCCACTGTTTCATTTAAAATGTGGAATGGAATGTCAGCTTTTGTCTCTTGTTGGCTGAGGTACAGAAACAAAATGCGAATGAAATTTTTTTTTCTTTTTGCCCGATTCAATTTGCAACTAATTCTTTCAAATAAAGTAATTCCTTTGTTTTTTTTTGTCTTCTTTCTCGCACAAAATTTATTCAATTTATTTTTATCTCATTGCACACACAAAAGAAATTTCTTTTATTTTGATGCTACTGTTATATATATATTTTTTTTCTGTTTATATAAGAGTATTTCTCAGCAGTTTTCAAGTAATTTGTAAAAGTTTTTTCGTTCGGTGATGGCTTCACTTTATTTTGTATCGCTGTGTGTGAGTATAATTTATTTTAGAATTGATGTAACTTTGTTAATTTTCTTTTTTGATTTGATTTGGTGGTCTTTTCACTTCAGATAATTTGCAAAAACGTTTTGTTTCTTCTGTGTGGAACTTTATCACTTTTTATTGGGACATAATGAAACTGGAATGAAAATTCGCGTACTGAGAAAGAGAAACAAAAGGGATTTGCTGCCGAAGGAAAACGATGTCTAGATCAGACTGAATGTGTAAATCGAGTATTTTCATTCGCAAATATGAGATGGATACTCGTTGCGATACAACGGAGAGCAAGCGAGACGGAGAAAGAAGCATACACACAAAGAGAGAGACCATGTGAAAGCACGCGCCGCACAGCATCACCAATGTGGAAAAATGTCAAAAATTCCTCTCTACCGTGCGCTTTTATTCTCTTTTCTACGGTGCCACAGTGCAAATACCACAAGCCATTCGCTTCTATAATCGCAACACAAAGCGTACGCATAGCACGCGCACGAGAGATGAAATGAGAGACAGAGAGAGTAAAAGCATGTTTGCGAACTTTGCGGAGAGTCTTACTCCCTGGCGCTGTGTCCCTCTATCTCGTTCACTCACTCGCGCGCGGGTGGAAAATCAAATGAAGGTGGGGCAGATTTCTCTTTGCCCCAAGCCTACTGTGTTCACATACTGCTGCTGCTCTTCATTCTTTTTCGCTCCGTTTGGCTTGGACGCAAACGCTTCTTTGGCGTGGTGGCAGAGAAAAAAAAACCGAAGTTTATATGATGAAAATTTAGTGCCTATTCAGTCGTTTGCAACATTCGAGCAACACTATACTATACTCTGTAAAGAACATTGCAATATCTACATAAAATTGTATACAGCATTTTCGCTCATCTTTTTCATTTCATTTCTTTACACTCGCATTTGCCGCAATGGGAATAAATTAGTTCGCATAAATGAAAAACAAAACACAGCAACAACAGCAGAAAAAGAAATCTCTTGCTTACATAATCATGATTCATGAGATGAACGCATGACCGTTGAAGCAGCATGTGAGCGCCACACAAGCTAACTCATGAATGTTTTTGCTGTTTTTGCTGCTGCTGCTGTCGTTGAATCGGCGTGCATTACGTTTGGTGTGTGGTTGGCTGAAGTGCTTTTCGGAAAATGCTTCATGAAATGTTTTGTGTTTTCAGTTGGTTATCATTGACCGCTGCCGCTCTACGTCGTTATGCCAACTTCTTATGATATATTTCACCCAATTCAATCGGTTAAAACTGTATGACAAACCCACGCGATGCACAGAGGCACAACACACGGCACACGGGATGAAAGAGGATGTTGAAATTGGTTTGGCATGTGTACTGTTTGCCGCTACACACGCTGTCGCTCTTTCGATGTTTGTCATTTCGATATACCGTGATAAAAATAAGAATACGAATTGTTCGTTTGTGGCTGGCATTGATCGATACCAAGTGGTGTACATTAATAGTATGGATATGAATGCAGAAGGGAACAAAAAATCTTGTATATCGTAGCAATACAGCTTTAGCCACGATTGCAATCTGCACAATCAACTATCGACCGTTGTGCGCGGAGAGAGAATCAAAACAACCAGGGAACAAATGGTTCCATTTGGGACCACTGAGGCCATTGTATCAAAGTACAATTCATTTGATGAGATCGAAGAATAACACAAAAAATCGTTGCCTTTTTTCTCGCTCTATCTCTGCTCGTTTCATTCATTTGTCATTTAATTATTGATTCACTTAGCGCAGATGAAGATTGAAAATGGATAAAAATTACACAAATTGTATTTCAGAAGTGAACACCGCTCTTTTTTCCCTATACCAACCAACCAACCAACCTTTTGTGATATGAAGCGCGCAGGTAAATGAATAAGTGAAAAAAAGGACGATGTTCGCATTCATTTTTAGATGGATGGATGGATATTTTTGATCAGCAAATTCGCATGGCAATTTACGTTTTCATCCAGTTGCTGTGTTATAAAAATGGCATGTACATTGTACAATGTATGGCATATGTTGTGCACATATACAAGTTAATTGATAGAAAAATGCTCGTGGATTAGCATTAGTACTGTATGAATTCTATTACAAGAGAAAAAAAAATGAGGTCGCAGACAAGAACATTCGATAATCCAATCGAAAAACGCGCGACGACTTTTCCGGGAAAATATCACTTGTTACCAGCTCACAAAATGTCTATCCGGCGGAAATGCGAGCTTGATGAGGTGCTTTTGTTTGAAATTGAATTAATACCACCCTGTTTTTCCAATTCACACCATGCGAGGGTAATAGAGTATGTGCTACGATGCCAAAGTCGATGAAGTCGATGAAGTTGATGTTGATGTTGACGAGGGATTCGAACATGTTTCCACCACACATTCTAACGTCCCAATGTACACTGCATATTTATAAAACAACCATATATTCAATGTTTACACCCGTCTTGGTATAGGTACGTATATGGTATCTAGCGTTGAACTTTTATTACTATAGCGCAAATGAAGTTGTATGCGAAGCTTAAGCTTCGAATGGTATCATTTACACCATACACACGCATACGCACACGCACACACTTGTTTTCTATGACAGGTTCTTGGCTTGTCTGTTTGTTCGTTCGTTCGTTCGTTTTGTTGAACATTTTATTATTCGAAAAACAAATAGAAACAACAGCAAAAAGCGCCAGCGATAGCATCTAATCACAATTATCATAAATCTGTTTGGCAAAAAGTTTTTGCCTTGCTGGAGAGAATACCAGCCAGCCAGCCAGCCAGCCAACCAAACAGCCAATATGCACAACTACACACATATAACCCTGCAATAATTCGAGTCGTCGTCTGCAGAGTGAGAGAGAGCAACGATCCAGTGGCTCTAATGGTTTAATGATGCTGATTCCGATGTCAATGGTGGCACGAGTTACACAAAAAGCAAGAGACAAACTTATTCACATTTATCCATATTTTGTCAGTGCTTTTGCATTTGGAATTTTTGTGACTTTTGTTGCTACTGCCACTGCTGCTGCTGCTGCTTCTGTAGTTGTTGTTTGCTTACTTGTTTGAAAACTTACAAGAGAGTGTAAACAATAACATGACTAACATTCCAAACGCCAAGTGACACCAGGCGACTGCTTTAGTAGTTTGTGTTGGCAAAGTGCGTCAACGGGCGAACAAAAGCTGAATCGAAAATACTTGAAAAGCTTTTGATTTCAATTCTTTTGTATATATGCGCCTTTGACAATGTTTTTCCATCATTCGCATTTCATTTTTGTTTCTCTCTTCTTCTCTCGTTTGTCGTTCCGTTTCGACTTTCTTGTTGCAAACACAGTCTTTTGTATGTGTTAAGATTTATACATCTTTGCAGCTGTAAACCGCATGAATTTTTTTTTCTTGTGCCCGGGCGTGCTGTGTTACAAACTTTTGCTATTTATTTCTCACATACGGTACAATTTGTAAGTGTGAGACATTATCAGACCATTTTACATTTATGCAACTTGTCTTGAGCAACGCTCGGTTCCATTTTTCTGTTCAGTTCAGTTGTTCGTTTCGGTTATTTTTTCTCGTTTTCCCTTGGAGCTGATGGTAAAATTCTCTTTGAACGGTAATAAAGAGTTTATGATTCAAAAAAGAAAAGACAAAACCAAAAAGGGAGGAGGAGAGATTGTAAGTGCGTGTGACTGAGAATCAGCGAAAAAGAAACAAACGGCATAGAAAAGTTGAGAACTTCTTTTGTTATTTTGCAATACGCTTGATGGTTGCTATACGTCTATTTTTAGCCCAACATACAACTTTTGTTTGCTCTCTTTCTTATTCCATAATTTTTTCCGTTCAATTCCTCGGAATCGGTCAGAGTTTTATCTCACGCGTTTCACTCCGATGCCAATTACTTAAATTTTGGATGCCTGTCGGTAAAAAAAAGAAGGACGATATTTTAATTCCTCAGTGTCAGTCAAATTTACAAGCGTACACAAAATGATGTTATGGGAGAAACATTTTAACAATAGGGGGAAAAAAGCAGCTTACCGCACAAATAATTTTCATATTCTAATTGGATTATGAGGTTTTATGGATTCTAGTTAGCATTTGGCACATGGACACACATATTCTCTACACAGAGAAAAAAAGCATATATATTGAAATTATCATTTTTTTCTCTGTACATTCTTTGATTCGATGCCATTATTACGGCACAATTTTTCATCTCTTTCCGCATTCACAACGAGCAGCGGGAAAATCTGTACATAATTTATCATACCATTTGTTTCCGTTTATGATTTTATTATGCATAAACAAAATGTGTTTTTCCGTTAAGTTTGTTCAATTCGATCGGATGGCGTGGGTTTTATTTGTTGGTGGCTAAAGAATTTCCCACTCTTTGTGATCGAAGATAATCCATTTTTATCAAAATAGCTTTACTTATCACATCTATGGTGACAGAAATAATGACGGCTTCAAACCGAATTTTTGAAATGTGTATTCTACACAGCTCAAAAAAAGCATAATATTTGCGGAAATGGGACGAAGACCGAGACAGCAATAAGGCGAACACGAATTTGATTCGGGATATAAATAAAGTGGTACGTACGTGGAAAGAAGAGAAAAAAGGCACGGTGCAGGAGAATGAAAATGGAGCGAGAAGCACAAGTAATGTGCGGATACATAAAAGCCATAGCAAACCCCAAAAATTGTGGAATAAAATGTTCTACTTTAGACGGCATTTATTCAAAAGCATTCCAACAAAAACCGAGATCATCATAAATACCATTTTTATTGTCCTTTATGAACATGGTTACAAACGCGCCCAGCGCCAAATTTATTTCGCAAGTACACATACATTGCATTCGAGCAGCAAAGGCAGCCGCAAACACCATCATCAACAACAACAACAGCAGCAGCATCAATCCCGAACCCAATGGAATAAATGCTGCTGCCATTGCCGAGAGATACAGAGCAATCGAAGAAGAGCTGGCATTGGAAAAAGAGCACCGACATAAGCCAAACACAAATATGGCAATATGCGGTGGGTCCATATGATGACATTTTGATTATCGCCATGCTGAACGCATTCCGAATTAATGCATAATAAGGTCGATATGGCACATGGCCTCCGTACAAGAGTTTAATACTAATGAGCAAGAATTTCGCCTTTCCGACACAATCCTTATGTATGCAGAATTGGGAATAAGTACAAATACTGTTTTGCATTATTTTGAATCGGTCGTGGGTGACAGTGAAATGGGAATTAATTTAAATACCAAATGGAATTCCCATAGTAAATAAAAAATTTGTGATTTGATTGACACAGCAAGAAAGAAAAATAAACATCTAAATTTAAATTGGACCGTTTTAGTAAAATTGTAGGTATATTGGTACTCCCTGCACTCGTTCGCATCAAAATTCGAAATTCGCTAACGCACACTCCCTCCCGATGGTAAATATTTACAAACAGACGGCAAAAGCCGTATTATAAATACTCCACGCAACGATGACAGTTGCGTTTGTTCGAAAAACTAACTGACCGAACGGTTTCGAACTGTCAAACGAAACGTCAAAAGCAAGAGTAAATGCTTTCAGTGAATGACTACGAAAACCAAAACACAACATATACACACACACACACTTACTAACGCTACACACGCTTGTGTGTGGAATATATATGTCGTTTGCCTTTGTCAGTCAATCAGCTAGCTAGTAGCCGTACAGTTCAATGGTTGTATATGTGTCGATTGAAATTGTGTGTGGGTAAAATGCTATAGCATGTTTGCGAAAATGCACAATATTACCAAATGGCATTATTTTAGTTAGTGTATGGACTGATCCGGTGGTTGAAAGACGTGTGAATCGACGATATATGTTATACAAATTCTTTTTTCTCTCTTTTAAGTTGTAGATAAAAAAAAGGAACTAGATAGACTAATAAAGAAGAAAGGAAACTCAACGCGTACTTTGAAACATGGTGTAAGCATTTCATTGAAATTTTATTTCGTGATTTACTTATTTTGATGGGTGATTTTGTTTTTCTACTGCTTGGCGAATTGTGTGCAAGATAATAGAGTAGTGATTTGTTGGGAAAAAAATTTCCTTGGACGTGTGTGTTGTGTACGATTGATTTTTATTTGTGTTCCGTATTCGGGTTATTGTTATTTTTGAGCTGAGAGGATGTTGATGCGTATATTAGCGCAGTAAATTGAGTGCATATAGAACAATATTATAGATTGAGAAAAAAAACACACAGCGAGAATGGGAGAAGGAGCACGTCAAATAGAATAAGCAAATGCGAAATTGGCCAAAGAAACTTTTCTACGATCGAATGTGTGTGCGACTGAGATAGAGAACGAGAAGTGAACAGAGCAAAAGTGTTGTTATTAGTGTATAGTTATTTTTTTTCTCACTTCTTCTCTCTCTTTCTCTCGCTCACTTGCTCGTTCTCTGAATTTGAGTATGAGTGTCTTATGTGCGATTTGTTGTTGTACACGTCGCTGCCGTTTCTGTTGCCCCGATGTCGATTTGTATGGTTTCATGGCAATTGGATTTTACTTTTACAAATTTTTGTATCGAAAATTGGTTGTACATTGTCATTGTATTAGCTGATACTTTAATATGGATGATTCGGTATTAGGTTTTTCTTTCGCTTTCTCGCGCTCTTTCTCTCTCTACACACATTTGATTATTCCATTGTAATATTATCGTGCTGTTGCCCATTGAGTGCACATTTATTCAAATAGCGGGCTTTATTGTTCAAATATTTTATTTTCAGTCTGTACAGTGAATTCAGAATTTGGTGGTTTTAATTCGGGCCATATGAAGAATTCATTGTATTGTTTGTCATTTGGTTGTGTCGATTTTAATGCCTTGCTCACGTTTTAAATGCCAGCCAAGACACTAGCTATAACATGAATATCATATATACACACTCGATATTTCCATTCTGACAATCCGACAGCACCGTTGTTATAGTGAACATCGAAATAAAAACAAATGAAATTGAAAACGGACGATGTATTACTACGCGGAAAATATGTAATTCTTCACATATTTGGTTTTGAGTTAGTGTATCGAAACGTGAGCCAGTTTTTGTGTGTGAGTGTGTGTTTGTGTGTGATTGGCGACCCGTTCATACATATGTAGTATTTATGATGGGCTTATTGGTGTATTTATGATTATGCGATGATGAGACTCGTGCTGTAGTTGTTGTGACTGCTTCAAGATCAATGCTAGCGACTTGAATAATAATAATATAAACGATTATTTTTTCGTCGTTGTATCCGTTGTTGTCGCCACCGCTGCCGTCGTCGTTGTTGTCGTGTATTGTTATTATTTGTTCAGTGCCAAAGGAATTTATCGTGTGGACACAAGTTTTTTCACCCTTTATCGTGTCGCATTTAGTGTCGCTATTCTTGATCTATAGTCAATTGATACGATGGCTCTGGAATGCTTTATGCTCATTTAAATCCATTGTGTGTGCGTGTGTGCTATTTGTGGCTACTGAACATAAATTCACTTCCAGATGCTATATTGTAATATATATATATATATATGCGTTGCCTTGTTATGGCATGTACTGACTCATGGTGGCCTTCCATCCATTCAACATTTTCCCACTTCCGTTCAACGGAACAAGTAAGCTTCATCGCCGTTGTGGTCGTCGTCGTCGTCATAGTCGTCGTTTGCCTCGGGGGCTCATTAAACATTTTCTCCAAACCGAACAAATGAAAGTTTTATTGTCGTCATTATTCAACCACTGTGTAAAATGGTTCAAACTACGTTTGTGATTATTGATGGGTGAAATATGTGTGAAATTATATGTGAATTCGAGCGCAATCTCTCGTACTCTCCTCGATTTTCTCATTCGCCACCATGCCTAATGCTATGAACACAAAGTGAATGCAAGCATCCACGGTGTGGTGGTGGTGCAATAGTACAACTTCTTTATGTAATCGTTTACGGTTAATGAATGTGATAAAGTCGTAATACATTCATTACTTCCACACAACATCACATCACATCTTGCGATCGAATCACAATGCAAACACGATACATGAATGTATACGAATGTATAAATGTACGAAGGCTTGACTTTTGACGAATCAAGAAGAAAAATCGCCAATTTTCATATTATTCTGTTCGTGTCAAATGACAGAAAAAATAACCACGCGAACCGCAAAAGGCCATTTAGTGTTCAATTTCACAAATATGCACTTAATTTGTTTATAAACCGAGGCTGCATTATAATAACAATCATCAATGAATCATGCCAATTTTTTCTCTTCTGTTTCAGCCATACATCGACACCGATACACACTCTCGAACAACAAAACTGGCTCTCCATATTTCGCAAGTCAAATTTTAGCATGTACACTAAATCTCAGCACATGCATTCTTGCTCGTTTTTCTTATGCGTTGTCGTGTTATTTTTTTCATGATCTCGATGTGTGTTCAAAATTTACGTCTTCTCATCGAGCGTTGGTTGTGCCCCTTTTTTTCTCTTTCTCTCGCTCTCGATTTAATTGCTTGTGTATTCGATATAAATTAAGTTATGATTATGTGATAGTTTTTTCGTCTTTCGTTCGTATTTGTCCAAACGCTGACTACGCGCGCAACACTAGTCGCTGTCGTTGCGTCAAAGAAAACAAAACGTGTTTGTTTATACTGAGATTAGCTCTGTTTGATTTTGCTGTGTTTGCTCCATTTCTCAATTACATTTTCTTTTTCTCTTTCTTTTTCTCACTCTCTCTTCCTCGCTCGCGGGAATGTACAGTTTTGACTAAACAATGGACGAGAATCGTGTGGCAGATTATTTTGTAGTAGCTGGGTTGCCTACGAAAAACCCGAGCCTACTGCAAGAAAATATATTCAATGATACGAGTCAATTGCGGTCGGTAGATGCCATTGCGCCGATTGTTGAAATTGGTGTATATTTCCCAACGCTCGGCGAAACCATTCCCGATGGCAATCAAGTGCTTGAGAAAACACCAACCGGACTGGATGCCGATTTAAATCATGGATCCGTACGAACACCGCCATGTTTTATCTTCTACCGTCGTGGCTATGATAAACCGCCACTTGTTGATATTGGCATTCTGTATGAGAATTCCGAGCGCATCATGCCCGATGCACAGATGGTGGAATTCACGCCAGGCGGACGGGTAGCGAATATAAATAATTCGACAACAAAAATTTTTATGACCTATCGACGGGCCAGAGACGATATGCCATGCAATGAATTGGTTGTCAGTGATTTATGTATAATTGTCGCGAGTCGAGGTGAAGAGCCGCCGCATGCCTTCTGTCAAATTCACAAGACGCTCAACAAAGGAATTGTCGGCAGTGACGTATATTTGTGCTATAAAAAGTCGATGAATCGACCGAAACTGATAAGCTACCAACCAGAAATACTACATCGCTATCCATTTGTGGATCACATTGATTTTCCACTGAATTTGTGTCAGAGTGTTCCGCTGTTTTGCCTACCAATGGGCAGCACACTTGAATGTTGGCCAAATGTCGATGGCACGGTAAGTAACACTGTGTAAAATTTGCTCATTTATTTTGTTTTCTGTGTGTACGGTTGAAATTTTGCAAAGAACAAAAGAACTCATGTTTCGTTTTTCGTTTTTTTTTTCTTGTTGTGGCAGGTGAAGCGAAAGAGCATAGATCCAGTATTTAGTACATTTGTGCTGACCGTTAGCGATGGTGCGTACAAGGTTTACGGTTCAGCGCTGTCATTCTATGAAGAATATGAGTAAGACACTTTTGGCTTTTTCAATTGAAAACCCGTAGTCAAATCTATTCATGTCTCTCTCCCTCTCTCTCTTTTCTCTTCCGTTTTATGAGTTTAGTCCGTTGCAACTCACCGAAAAACAAAAAGAAATGCTTGAGTGGACCGATGAATCACCGGCAAATTGTTCACTTCATGTGAATAAAGCGATTTGTTTGCTGTCTCATCATCCATTCGGCGATACATTCGAGAAATGGCTACGTTTCATTTATGTGAGTTGAATTTTATTCTTCGATTAATCTCATGATGGGATTTTTTTCCACTTCATTTTTAATTGAGATGCTAATCATGTGTTGTTTGTTTTTTGTTGATTTATCCATCAGAAAATGTCAAGAAGTGAAGCACCTTTAACCGTTCCAATCGAACGCTATATCACACAATTGATAGACGAAGTTCCATTTCCATCGCCCAGCATTTTAATTCAATTGTCAAATTTATCCAATGAACGAATCATACTGACGCAACCGGAAGACTCGCCAATGCCACGCAGCGGTGCTGGCTTTATGCAATTGCTTACAAATTTAGGACCAGATAATTGCTTACATCTACTGTTATTAGTATTAGCCGAACAGAAAATTCTCATACATTCGCTTAGGTAAACAATCGCAGCAAAATCCAGTCAAAATGTTGTTGCTCATTTAATTTCGTACCGCGGCTTGTTATCTTATCTTAGCAAGCATTCGCGCTACTTAGTTGTATTCATTTCATTCCGAATATTACACGTTTTGGCACATGAAATAATCATGACCGCAAATTATACGTAATAATTATTAATTAAATTTGTTGTTTGTGGTTTCTCTTCTGTTTCTTCACTCGGTGGTGTCGTCGTCGCGTCTTTTTTGATCTCACTTTTCAGACCTTCAACATTAACAGCTGTTGCTGAGGCGGTTGTTACACTTTTATTCCCATTCAAATGGCAATGCCCATACATCCCATTGTGTCCGCTCGGGCTGTCCGAAGTGTTACATGCTCCGTTGCCATATTTAATTGGTGTCGATTCGAGATTTTTCGACGTTCACGTACTACCCAATGATGTGACATGTGTGGATTTGGATACAAATCATATTACCGTGAGTTTTTCAGATTGAAATGTCGTCTCTCGTTCCAAACGAGATCTTTTTTAATCTCGTTTTTTTCTTCAAATTTTGAACTACATTGATTTTCATGATTTATTTCCATTGTTCTTCCCAGTTATGCGAATCGCAGAAAGAATTGACTGTGAAACTGTTGCCAAAGCGAGCGAGTAGGATTTTACGACAGACGCTACGTGAACTTGAGGAATTAGCACAAACACCAGCCGTTTCGTCTACCAATAGTTTAGATCGAGATTTTAAGCGAAAAATTCGCGAACAAAGCCTTGAACTTCGAATACAGGAAGCATTTTTGAGATTTATGGCAAACATTTTGCGTGGATATCGAGATTATTTAGTGCCCATGTCCAAGGCACCAACTGTTGGCTCAACCGATCCGAATGCGGTAAATATTTTTTTAGAATTTTCCAAAAAACATGTTGTTTTCGATTGTAAAGTCAAAAAAAAACATTATCGAACAAATAAAGATTAACAATGACTGTGTTCTTCCCTTGCAGCTCTTTCAATTGAACGCATTTTTGCGTTCGCGAGATAAGGCCCATCACAAATTCTACAATTACTTGATGAAAACACAAATGTTTATTCGATTTATCGAAGAGCGTTCGTTTGTGTCTGATAGCGGTTATCAAGGTTTGGCCTTTTTCGACGAGTGCACCGAAAAAGTGAGCGCATGTGATGATACCACGAGTGAAATTCGGTTTGTTGATTGGGACATTGGTACAAGTAGCGATCGAACAAAATATATTTTACCGCTGGATTGTCAACCTGGTGCTAATGATCAAACATACACATACCCGCTGTTCATGTTGAATCCGGCTTTGCTTCAACCGCCGAAAAATCGACTAAACAAATTGGTACAAAATGCATCGTGTGCACCGGGCTCACCAATGGCTCGACGTACAAAATACGAAATCAAAATGGCACAAAAAAATGCACGAAAATGTCAATCATCGCCGGAGCAATGGGCCAATCATCTTCTAACAACCTGTTACTCGATCTATTTTTTGGTGTTGCCAAGCATTTTGCTGGACGCAAACAACAATGAACAGGCAACACTGAAAGCAGCCTACGATGTACTGTCGAAGGCACACAAAATGCGAATCACCTGTGATGAAGTATGCTACCGTGTGATGATGCAACTGTGTGGCATTCACAATTTGCCCATACTTGCGGTTCGACTGTACTATCTTATGAAGCGATCGGGCATTCAACCGAATGCCGTCACTTATGGCTTTTACAATAAATGTGTTCTTGAAGCTCAATGGCCGTCCGACACTGGGACGGCAAGTAAATTGCGATGGAATCGATTAAAGAATGTTATATTCGCTGCTGCTTATCTCCGTCGTGGCATTCAGAATGGCGGTCGAAAATGCTCATCGGAACAAAATTTAAGCGCATTGGATGCAAATGATGCCACATCGGCAACTAGCTTAGATAGAGATACGAATGAAAGTAACTACTTTTCAATAGATTTCTTTGCTTTTGATAAATTAAGAGGACGATTTGGAAATTTTGGACGACAAAGCGAACGAAATGAGAATAATTTGAGGGCTAGCGTTGGATCGTTGAATTCCGTTGGTGTGAATGACACGAAAAATATGAACGGAAATGGAAAAGAGCACGAGATTGATCCGCACACACATGAGCGGATCACCGCCGATAACATTGAATTGATCAAAGAACCGCAGCCACCAAGGGAGCCAGATGAATGTGATGCACAGAACGAATCAAAAGTTCAACCAATTGGGACCAATGGCACTTCGAACAACGAAGGCCATATTATTACAAAAGACAATATCGATCTGGCGGTGAATGGAAACGCAGACAATGAAGACGACGACGATGACGATAAAACAAGCCCGAAAAAGTAAGCTATCGTTCACATTTCTATCGTTTCAAACCCAACTTTATCAGAATGGAATGAAATTAACTTGATTTGTTCTTTTAGGGTATCACCGCGTACGCCAGTTACGCAAAATGATCCGTTGGGTGCATTGATCGAAGAAGAAGAAGAGCTCATCAAAATCGAAAAGACCAGTGTTGAAACGAAAAATTCATTCTTAATCAAAAATAACACCATTTATACCGATCAACCGATTTTATTCCGTGGCCAGCGTAGCGCCACATTCGATGAATCAACACCAATGTACAAAAGCATGCAGCGATCAAAGACAATGCCACCATCATCAGTTGCATCAAGCTTTGCTGGCTTTGGCCAATCATTTAAATTGAATTTCGGGTAAATACAAATCATCATCTCATTTTGATCGAATGTGAATGAAAACTGGGTTTAGTATCCCAAAATTAAGTGTCATGTGTACAAATTTTGCATATTTTATTTATCATTTTGAATGGATTCTGTCCTGTTTATGTTATTTGTCCCGCAAATTTATTTTTTTAAACACTCTTTATTTCATTTTATTTCGTTTTATACATTTTTTATTTCATTTAATTAGACGCTATTCACCTGCACGATTGAATTTCAAAAAAGATTCCATTATTCCTGCAAATATTATTGAAAATATTTCTAATATTAGGTAAGCAAATGTAAATATGTGGTTTTGTAAATACACCAATTGTAGCCAGAAATGATTTGAACATTTGCACGGATTGCACAAAGAATGATGATCAATATCAAAAACATATTAAGCGCATGTTTATTTAAATGAAAAAGTGAAACTGATTGTTTCGTCCCAATGTGATTTAATCTATTATTCTATTGATGTATATAAAATACGTATTGATCATTGGCTGCAACAGTTGCATGAATTTGCATGGCAATAGGTTTAAGTCTAAATATTATTATTTGCGACATTTGTCGTTGTATGGACCTGTAATGTAAATTCAAAGAAAAAATTGTCAAAATCCAACTTAATCATAATCGAATTATAATTTCAGCCCAAGTTTGACTGGCAAGAAATCAAATGAAATCTTTCAAGGCGGTCTCAGTAGTATAAAAAGTGCGGCAACATCTGTTGCCAAGAAACTGGACGAAATCAAAGATGCAATCTCAGCGAATAACACGCCCATCAAATCGGCCAATTTAGACCGAGGTCTGCATCGTTCTGACGACAATTTGGATGTCGATTCACCAACTTACACCGCACCAGCGCATTCTCGACGCGTATCAAGTGATGTTGACCTATGGTCGAGACTTAGCGATTCACGGAAATCCAGTTATAATAACCTGTTGTTCCTCGGTGAATACGCAAAACTTCAAAACACATATTTACCTGAAACCAGCCATCCGCAAATCTCGTTGGAGCATCGATATAGCTCAAAATCGGATGTTGAAATTCAACTGAGCACAATGTCATCGTGTCACAATTGTTCCGAACCAATGTATGATAGGGACATAATGGCCGGATGGTCAGCCGAAGATTCCAATCTCAATACCACATGTCACAAATGTAAAAAGGCAACCGTTCCATTGCTAAGCATCAACATAACCAGCATCGATCGTACGCAATCCAATGCAAAGCAAGAGAATCAATTCAATGTACCGTACTTGAATCCGTTGGTCTTGCGTAAAGAGCTCGAAAACATTTTATCTCAGTACGGCGACGATTTATTGTGTAAATCACAATTTGTCGATGGTCATGCCATTATCTATTGGAATCTGGTGTGGTTCATGGAACGTATAGGCGTGCAAACACACTTATCATCACTTTTCTTTCACAAGGTGCGTACTTTTCAACCCTAAGCTACTTTATTACATGATGCCTTCACTTTTTGAGACTGACTTTTTCTCCTTACTTTTATTTACAGCAAAATGAAGCAGACAAAAAACCACCGCGAGAACCCTCACATCCTTTAGATTGCTTATGAGACACGCATACGATAACAAAAGTTAATAATTAATTAACGGAAACAGCAATCTATTTGCAATAAAAAAAAGGTTTAAGACATCAATAATTATTGATTATTAACTAATTATAATTAGTTGTTGTAGACATTGCGAGAATTGTCAAGAGATATCCTATATTTTCTCTGTGTATTGGATAGAAAGCGCACCAATTCTATTTGAAAAAAAGCAATCAATTCACCAAACTCTCAATCGACGGAACCAACACTTTTTTTCTGTTCAACCGAATAACCACGAACTAACCACGTTCCATCCTTTTCTCTCTAACACACACACACACACTATTTTCTCTATATATTTTTTGATCGTCCAATATTGTCTTTATACAATTGTATACCGCTTTTCTTTCGGATTATCGAAGTGGACGCAGTGCATGCGAGTAAAGAAGAATAAAAGAAAAAAAATGATCCGAATCTTTTGAAGAAGCTTTAGTTTTTATCGAAATTGTTATGAAAGAATATTTTAAGATTACAAAGGAAATTTGTATGTGGCAAGAAGCAACCAAAATGAGTTTAAACGCAATATTCAGAGCGGTTTATCCCGATTTCGCTTTGTTATCGTTTTATTTTTGTAAAAAAAGAAGAAGAAAAACAATGAAGAAAATGAAGAATGGTATATTTTATTCCTAGGCAGACAATTGAATTGTGAAAAAGGATTTTAACATTCACAATCTCTAACTATACAAATAAAAATCAAATTATTAAAATCTAAAACGATTTCGTTTTATTTTTGTTTGTTTTTTCCATGATTTTTTACATTCCCTTTAAAAAAAAAATTCGAAAAAAATCATATTCGTTCAATTTGCTGCAATTTCGAAATTGTTGGTCGCATAAAAGTGTTACATGGGATTTGTTTTGCTTAACTTCGAACAGCGACACAACGTCAAGAGTGTAAAGTATGAAACGAACGCGCTGTCACATTCGGAATGCGTTGATTCGCGTTAAATCGGCCCCGCATACACAATCATTCATCGACACACTCACACGGTCTAGGTCCATGCGGCAGCAGCGTTTCAACAATGACCACTCACTTGTTTGGAACTTGTGCACAACCGACCGTAGCAGCACTACACAACACCGATGAATAATCATTGAATTGCACACACAAACGCACGAATACCGACCCTACCTTTTGGTGTCGAGCAGCGCACACCGTTCGTTCGTTCATATTGTTGTTTGTGTGTTTTTCTCATTCGTTTCGGCTAACGTATGAAACACTGAAAAAAAGCAACCGTGTGCGCTAGCGGCACGATGAATAACATCATTTTCTCTCAGTTGAACGAGAGCCTTTGATGTGAACAGTTTGAGGTGTGTTGTTGCAAATTGCGCGCTCACCATCCGAGCAAAAAAATTAAAGTAAGCGAAGAAGCATTTTATCATCGTTGTTACATTGCTTTGCACAAAACTGGAAATGAGCAAATTGCTACGTGTCTTTCGTATCCACTTGTTAGAAAATTCCGAAACAGTGGCTCATTGAGAATTGAGCACATGCTAAAACAAAAGCCCGGTGTGTCTGTGCCGAAAAAAAGAGGTAGAGATTTTGCCGAGTGATTGAAAGTGAAGAAGAACAAACGAAAACAAAAAGAGACACAAGACAGAATCATCATCATCATTGAAAGTTATTTGTTGAGCGCAAAAGAGTCACCGCCACAACATAGCAGCCACACATTAAACAGCAGATTTTTTTTACCTTGTTGTTAGTTTCATCTTTCTTCGAATTCATTTCTTTCGTGTGTGTGTTTTTTTTTTCGGTGTGTCGAAACGAAGAGAGTTTACATCGGCCGCAAGAAAGAGACTCAGAAAAAGTGAATCAGAATTAAATTCTCAGTGAATTTTTCCCAGGCATATGAATCGTCGTGGCCATCCAACACACAGCATACGCATGTACGCAATACAACCGTGTTGAATTAATAGAAACGGAAGAAAACAAAAACCGACGACCAGCCCATTCAATTTGTGAGTGAGTGCCGAAGTAAATTAAGAAACAAAAAAAAATTCTTATTACACGAACTTGGGATGAAGGAACGAACGAATGAAAAAAAAATAACCCAACAATGAAACGAAGCATCAACCATCGAAGATAGAAGACGAAGCACAGGGAAAAGAACGAAAGAAAGAAAAAAAACAATCACATCATCATACAAGAAAACACATCTCTAGTGCATTGTAGCATTTGAGAACGCGGAGACTGTGAGTAACACGAAAAAAACAACAAAAACTACAGGAAAAGAACTGAATCAACCGACCAAACCAGAGTGAAGTCATTTTCTTCTTCTCTCAGTGCAAGTACATTGATTCAGTGTGCAAGTGAGTGAATGAGGGATAAAAAAATAACAATTCAGAGAAATAACAACAACGAATTTGTAATAGCTGTTGTTATTATTGTTGCTTGCTAGCCCCTTTGCGTTTTAATTGTGTGCATTCATATTTTGAGTGTGTGTGCGTGCGCGTTGTCTCTTTTTTTTGGTTTCTGTTCGCAGTCCGAGCAAGAACAAATCGTGTCTGAGTCGATTGTGTGTGACTGCATTTACAACAATCGGAGTCGTTGTTAAATCATCATCCAAGCAACAGAGCAACGGCATATTAGAATATACTTTAGCCGACACGAGAAGCAACAAAAATTATCGAATATAATTCACACATAAGTAAACACTGCAATTGCATTTTAATTAGTTAAGTGGTGAAACTAAATGAAACCAAATAAGAGCTCAGTTTCAGGTGCTTCGTTGAGTGCGCCGTCGCCGTACCTGTCATTGATTGTCATATTTTTCCTGTATTCCATGCAAACAAACACGATATTCATTTGCACTTGCAACACACACTACGCACAAACAACGAGTTCTTCGAGAAAACAGTTTTTTTTTTTCGTCAATGTTTTGAACAAACCAGTGCCACAGTAGTTCTGATTTGACCAGTGTTTCGTGTCGACTTCAATTAAAAAACCAGAGTTTGAGTGAAGCAAATGAGGGAAACAAACCACACGAAAAGTACAAAATAAAAACAACAACAACATTCAGTTTAAATGGCACTTTCGTAAATTACATATTTACATACAAATTGTATACGGCTTTTAGGAGAACGGTCACAAGAAACGAAATCAATTTGGTGGCATTTTCTTGATGTGAATGCGCCCCAAGAATAATAACAACGCGAATGTTGAAGGAAAAAAACACAACAACCTAACCAGAACTATTGAACATTTCATCGGAATGTGTTAATTGAAAATCTTTACACTTGCAGAGCTCAAAAGAGAGAGAGAAAGAGAGAGAACGGGAAAAAAATTTAACGCAAAACACAAATAACAATTTGTTTGAAGAATTTATTGTTATAAAAGTGTAGTATTGTGTTCGTGTAATTTACTTTTGCGGAACGGTTCAGTTTGATCGGTTTTTCCAATTCGGGTTTGACCGCGTACTCTGTGTGAATCTGAATTGGTGTATGTTCGTGCAGCCACAACACTTGCCATCAAGCTCATTCGAACACATAAAGATATTAATTCGATACGTGCATCTGACCCCCTTTTTAGAATATTAAGCTTGCTTGTTAACGTCATCGTCGTAGTCGTCGTCGTTGTTGCTGTTTCCAATTAGAAGCTGAAAATAAAGGTAAGTCGAACGATTTGGTACATAGTCAATGCGCTTAGTCTAGCTCTTGGATTAGTACACCCAGAGACAAGAGATACAGCAGAAGAGAAGAAAAAATAGCAATATATGTCGTTAATTCAATTACTTGGCTTAAGCGAGCCGATTACAGATTACAAATTGCCACTCGGTGTGTTGATCATTTCAGTTGTAAATGACTTGTGTGCAGAATGTGTGCTATTGAATGAAAGTTGATTTATTTCAATTGTCTTTGCAATCTTCTCTCTCGCGTGTGTTTTCCAAACCATGACGATTGAGGTTTTTCTTGCTTGATGTGTTGTGGCTCTTGAATTCTTAAGCGACATCAAAGCCTAATGAAAATCGATTATAATCTTGATGATATACGAACAATCGCATTTTTGTCATTTCAGTCGAATGAGGGCTTTTGCTTTTTGTTTCCAACCGACTTTTTTTTCCGTCGTTCTATTTATCGTCATTTTTCACCATTTTTTCTGTCTCTCTCTCTCTCTCTTCCTTTCTTTCCTCACATTGTTGTTTTGCACTCGCGCTTTGTGAATAATATTTTTTTTCAATTTATTGCTACTTTTAACATTGTTCTAAATCGATTGGCACGATTATTTGTACACGATTTGCCGTTCGACGACGGTCGCCATGAACGACATAAATCGCTTTTTATGCCACTGCAACGACGACGACGACGGTTTGCATACATTTTTTTTTTGCTGCTTTTAAGTACTTTTATCTTGATAACCCAGCCAACCAGAACATAAAAATCCGTTCCGTTATAAATGTGTTTTCAATTTGAGAGACGAAAAAAAAACTCTCTCACACACACTAAAGAAATGAAAACCGAACCATTCAAAATTAAAAAACTTTTTCTTCGCGGAAAATCCTGTAAACGCGATTTTTGTTCCACTAACGGTATTTCTAGTGACTTGAGTAATAAACAGTTGGTCGAGTAGTGTGTGTTATGCTCTTTTTTCTCATTCGTTCGTATTCTCATTTTGGTTTCTTCATATCTGGTGTGCACTAGGCGATTTCAACAGTGTGCTCACTGCTCACACAGCACATAACAAACGATGGCGATTCCCTTCAATGGAAAATGTGGTGAAATGAAGAAAAAACAAATAGAAACCAAAGCGAACAAGCGGTGAGTGATTCAACAGACAACGCTAAGGCAGCAATCAGAATGTGCGCTGCAAAATGCAACTGGAATAAAAATGTTTAACAAAATCATTCAAAGAAAGAGAGAGAGAGAGAGAGAGAGAGAGAGAGAGAGAGAGAGAGAGAGA